GGCATGCAATATTGGACACAATCATATTGTCTAATGAAAAAAATCTTAGCTTCTTCTCCGTTTTTAGTACTATGTAGTGCTATACAATTCTTTCTACCAAATATGCCTCAAGTGATGGGGATTTGGAGATTCTATCAAACTCCTCTTCAGAAAATTTGTTTCCCTAGAGTAGATAGTTTTCAAACGTTGAATTCTTTCGCATTGCAATAGGTGTCTTCCATTCTGTGCTTGATAGAAACAGGCTAGCTGTAAATCAATATCGGGTTATTCTTTGTCTTTGTATTATTTCTCAACAGATTCTTGGTGAAACATTATAACTAGGGGATTTCAAGTATTATCAGACCCTCATGTAAAAACGAAAAGAAAAGAGAAATTCTCAAATTTCTTCGGCGATCTTCAACTCATTGTTATCTGTTTGATGTTTGCGTGCCTGTCGCTGAATTATATTTTGAAATATAGTCATATTAATTGAACATGATGGGCAATACTTGAGCTGATACTCATTTTTATGCCAATAGTTAGTCGTATTTGTTAGGTTCCCATAATTATAAAGCAACTAGTTTGATTGCTTGCCATGCCTATATGCGACTTATGGTCCATTGGTTTCATGTAATGCTTATTTGGTAGTACTTTTAAAAGTTCATACGATGTGAGTCTTATGGAATATGTAAATAATAAGTGAATAGTAAGTTGTTGGTTGGTCATGCTAAAGGTGTATATAAAAAATATGTTTGACTCGCTTAATTATTCCATGTGGATAATTTAAATATTGCCAAACATAACCTAAGATGATTTAAAGCATTAGTTTAAACTTAGTCAAGCATGCTCGTAAATCATTGTGTCAGTACGATTTAATACTACATTTTCAAACATCAGCCGAGTGTACTTTCTGATGGTAATGAGAGTCCTCATACTTGAACTCAAGCTTTGATGGTCACTGCCACTGGTCCCAGAAAATGATACCCAATTCTTCTACAGGCCCCTTGGATTGTACAGGCCCCTTGGATTGTTTGCTTTTATAGCTCATTCAACTCAGAGGTGCCTAGATAGTGTAACTGACTGACGTTTCTTTCTCAGCAATTAGGACTTCTCTGGAACTAATACGAGGTTCTGCTTCTGGCATAATCATGTCCAGCTTATGGGGTCAAATAAGAAGATATACTTGAATATAAGGCCCGTTTGGTAGTCATTTTTTTTAAAATGCATTTTTCTTTCTCTTCTTTTCTACCATACATTCTTTATTAAATAATATTAAATGTTAATTAAAAATTTTTTCTTATTTTTCAACCACACATTTCACATCAATTTACCATTCTAAAATACATTCTTACAAAAAAAAATGACTATCAAACACCAAGTTTCATTAATTAAATATCAAATATCACCAGTCAAATCATCGTTTCCAGAAAATTACAAGAAATTGAAGTTATACTTGAGTTCTATTTGATACAACTGCTCTTCGTTACCTAATTGTGCTGAGCCATCTACGTCACACATTGATAAACTGCTTATTTTTTCGTTTTGTTTTTGGACGAAATTATGTTTATCAAGACTTTTCCTATAGCAGAAAGGAAGTTTTCCCTTCTGAATTTTGTTCTGAAGCCAAATAAGAATTTGCTGCCGTTTGAGATGAAGGAGCAGATGAATTCATCACTATTTGGAATGATTACTCCATAGGGAGAACTTAAAACTGAGCGATAGTACTGGTCGAGTTTAGATGGGGGTGGTGTACGTATTTCAGAAATCCCTTCGAGCATCTGCACAACTTTTCCCATCATAGTTCTAAGAGATGGTTGCCCTTGGATGCACCAAAAGCCTATTCGAATTGTTCTTATAGCTTGTTCTATGTCGACCTCGTGTCTAAGAAGCCTTTTATCAAGAATTGCCTCGATGTTGCCCTTCTCAAACTCTTCATATGCCCACAACGAAAGCTTTTTGTGATTAGTCTCGGTCGAAACTTCAAAATTCTTTCTCCCACTTATGATTTCTAACAACACCATTCCATAACTATAAACATCAGCTTTTATATTGACCAGAAGATTTGCTAGCGATTCCAGTAGCAAGTATCCTCTTGTCCCCCTCACAGACAGTATCGTCCGGTGTCTCTGCCCATTCGTGTTTATGAGTCGTGCTAGGCCAAAATCCGAGATCTTAGCATTATAATTTTCATCTAAGAGAATATTTTCGGGTTTTATATCAGAATGAACAATACAGTCACGACATTCCTCGTGAAGGTAGGTAATCCCTTTTGCAGTTCCAAGTGCAATGTTATATCGATATCTCCAATATAGAACTTCCCTACATGACTGCTCATCCGAAGTAAAGAGGAACTTATTTAGAGAACCGTTTTTCATGAACTCATATACCAATAACCTATGACGCCCTTCGCTGCAGAATCCTAATAGTCTTACCAAATATAAATGGTGAGTACTGTAGGTAAATATTAGAGAATCAAATCAAACCGAAGGCCTGTGTATTCACAGTTGAATTCGCCACCTCACCGAAGTGTAAAAGGTTTTGATCGGTATTCGATTCCCAGGATACAATCGGTTGTCGGTTCATGCTGCACTACGTTAACCGCCTGCGAACTAACTGTGATATACTTTATCTCACAAAGAAATTATAAGCACAAGGAAGAACTTGAAAGTGAGAAAAAGAAGATTGTTGCTTAGAGGAAGAAGCTTGCATTTCACTTGTGATTTTCCAACCTAGAGAGACTCCTATTTATACTAATGGAGGAAAATCTAGCTCATTAATCAAGGAGTTAAACCATTCATTGATAAAGGAGTTAAAAACATGAAGGGACTTGAGTTACAACATATGAAGAGACTTCTATTCAATATTGAGTTACAACATATGAAGAGACTTCTATTCAATATTTTTCATTCAATTCTAACAATCCCCCACATGAATAAAAAATGGAAACTAAGACTCAAGAGGAAAGATAGAGTAAAACGAATCAATCCTGCATAGGATAGGTATCATTTAGCTTTGAACCTTCCCTTGTGAAACCTATTGGGAATTACTAGCAGACCAGTGGACCTAATCCTTGAACTGTTTCGTCATTTGTGTAAACTAAGACAATAGATCTCACACAGGACCATTCTAGTCACAACATAGTGCTTATTGTTGTGTTCGTTTTGACCATGAACACGTCGCCTGGTTTTGCAAGTGTTTTTTCAAGGATGTAGCCTTGCCAATCCTTATAGAAGTGACCCCACTTCACACTCACATAGGTGACTCTTAACTCAGTTTTTCACAACAACGCTTAATGGTCATTAAAAGCATAGCTTAACCTGCATCTTCCAATCACTGTGAGCTCCATAGGAATGAGCAGAAGGAGAACATTCTCAGTGATTTCACAGATATACATGTTTTAGTTGTCCCTTTGAACATAGATCCTGGGATCTCCATTCAGCTAGGTTGGGTTTCCACCATGATACATTTCAACGTCATAGGCTGTAAGCCCATTCCCCTCGATACTTTTACAACTAGCTCTCGAGTTAGTCATTTGGTTAGCGGATCCACAATATTATCCTTTGACTTCACGTAGTCCAGAGTGATAATACCTTGTGAGAGTAGTTGTCGAATGGTATTGTGTCGTCTTCGAATATGGCGAGACTTACCATTATACATATTGCTTTGTGCCCTGCCAATTGTTGATTGATTATCGCAATAAACACAAATTGATGGCACATGCTTTGACCATCTTGGAATATCCTCAACAAACTGGCGGAGCCACTCTACTTCTTCAGTTGCTTTGTCCAAGCGATGAACTCTGATTCTATTATAGATCTCAAGATGCAAGTCTGTTTGGACGATTTCCAACAGACAGCTGCACCATCAAGAGTGAAGACATATCCACTAGTAGACTTGGTATCTGACATATCTAATATCCAATTTGCATTAGCATACCCTTCGATTACTGCAGGGTATCTAGAATAGTGCAGTCCAAAATCACGAGTGAGCCTTAAATAATGTAGCACTCTAAAAATGGCTTTCCAGTGGACAGTACCTAGGTTACTCGTGTAGTGACTCTATCTACTAACTGAGTATGCTATATCCGGTCTCGTACAAGTCATTAAATACATTAAAC